ATCCACGACACTGTCGCAAAGCCTAGCATGCGTGGCAATTTCTGGACACCATAACGGAGTGCGCGAGGAGTGGTCTCTCAACGCGGCCGCTATCCACGACACTGCCGCAAAGCCTGGCAGGCGTGGCAGTTTCTGGACACCATAAGTGGTGCGCAGGGGGTGGTTTCTCAGCGCGGCCGCTATTCACGACACTGTCGCAAAGCCTAGCAGGCGTGGCACTTTCTGGACACCAGCGGGGGTGCGCAGGGGTTGGTCTCTTAGCGCGGCCGCTATCCAAGACACTGTCGCAAAGCCTAGCAGGCGTGGGAGTTTCTGGACACCATAGGGGGTGCGCAGGGGTTGGTCTCTCAGCGCGGCCGCTATCCACGACACTGTCGCAAAGCCTAGCAGGCGTGGCAGTTTCTGGACAGCATAAGGGGGTGCGCAGGGGGTGGTCTCTCAGCGCGGCCACTATCCACGACACTGTCGCAAAGCCTAGCAGGCGTGGCACCTTCTGGACACCATAAGGGGGTGCGCAGGGGGTGGTCTCTCAGCGCGGCCGCTATCCACGACACTGTCGCAAAGCCTAGCATGCGTGGCACTTTCTCGACACCAGCGGGGGTGCCAGCGGGGGTGCGCAGGGGGTGGTCTCTCAGCGCGGCCGCTATCCACGACACTGTCGCAAACCCTGGCAGGCGTGGTACTTTCTGGACACCACAAGGGGGTGCGCAAGGGGTGGTCTCTCAGTCCACGACACTGTCGCAAAGCCTGGCAGGCGTGGCATTTTCTGGACGCCACAGGGGGTGCGCTGGGGGTGCGGTCGATATCCGTTTCGGTTTCGCAACGTGTGGCAGGCGTTGCACTCTCTTGACGCCACACGGGGTGCGTTGGGGGTGCGGTCGCTATCCGTTTCGGCCACGCAAAGCGTGGCAGGCGTGACACTCCCTCGACGCCACAGGTGGTGCGCTGGTGGTACGGTCGCTATCCGTTTCGGGCTCGCAACGCGTTGGCAGGCGTGGCACTTTCTCGACGCCACAAGGGGGTGCGCTGGGGGTGCGGTCGCTATCCGTTCCGGGCTCGCAAAGCGTGGCAGGCGTGGCAACTTCTCGACGCCGAAGGGAGTGCGCTGGGGGTGCGGTCGCTATCCGCTTCGGCGTCGCAATGCGTGGCAGGCGTGGCACTTTCTCGACGTCACAAAGGGGTGCCTTGGGGGTGCGGTCCCTATCTGTTTCGGGCTCGCAAGGTGTGGCTGGCGCGGCGCTTCTCCTCTTCCACCTCTCCTCCTGAGTGGCGTCACCAACGGTATCGGCGGGGCAACGGCCACCAACATCATTTTCAGATGCTTCACTTCAGCTATCATCACTCCAGCCATAATATAAGTATGTGGGGTTCCTCGGTAGCGTAATTAGGGGTTTTCAGCCTTCTCGCCTTTTCGGCCTTCCGACGCTCCAAGATGGCTCAAGAGACCCCCAAAGCAGGCCCAAGACGGCCCGAGAGGCGCCCAGGAGGGCCCCCAGACGGTCCACGACGGCCCCAAAACGGCCCCAGAGGCGCCCAAGATCGCCCTAGAGGGCCCCCAGACGGCCCCAAAAGGGGCCTAAGAGGGGGAACGCGAACCACCGATTAGAGCCTCTCGCCCCAAGAGGCCCCCAGGAGGCCCCGCGAGACCCCCGAGAGAGCCCAGGAGGCCCCCTGGAGGCCCCACGAGGCCCCCAAGAGGCCCCCAAAAAGGCTCCAAAGAGGCCCCCAAAGAGGCCCCCAAACGGCCCCCAAAAGGCCCCAAGAGGCCACGAACGCGCCGGGAAATGCCTGCGATGGCACAGTACGTGCTGGCGGGGTGAACGAAGCGCTGTAATGAAAAACAAAAGAAAAGCCCCGAGCAAGAGGGAATGTTGCAACTCAAGCTGGGGGCGCTAGTCGATGGCGCCCAGAAGAGCCTTCACTAGGGCCAAACGAGTCAACACAACCATCAGGCAAAATCCTGGCCACGCGAGTCAACACAACCGTCATACAACACAACCATCAGAGCTGCTTCCAGCACGACCCAGTGTGTCTTTTTTCCCCCGAGCTTTCTCAGAAGGGCTCGGTACAACCATCATGCGCTGATTCGCTAGTTGAGGCCCCTTGACATTACAGTTAGGTCGGGCGTGTCCCCTTACAGGCGGATTGTAAACGAGCAGTGGAGACACATAGTCAACAAATACCAGAACATGGCCAAAACATGCAAACAACAAATCGTCCCCAAACCATTTTTTACTATTCTTGAATGTTCCTCCTGTGTAGGAACAGGCCCGACTTAACATTACAGTCCTCACGAAAGTAAAAGGTTCTCAAGGAACGTCGACCTCCGGTCCTCAACATTCCCCCCACATCTTGTCGCGTGAATTGGTGTGCCCGATCTTTGAGATCTTTGTTTGGTTCACTTTCTCGAATCCGATTGCTGGACCTATCGGGCTCGTCTTGGGGCCCCACTTGGGGGCCTTCAAGACCGTTTGGGGTGTCATGCGGCCGTCTCATGGGCCTTTGGGAGCGCTCAAGGGCTGTGATTTGTTTGTTGAGCAGTCGGCGAACCAGTATAATTACTACGACTACGTGTCCACGCTGCATGGTGGTGGCGCCTCGCAGACCACGTCCAGCCAGGCACAGGGCGCTGTCCCAAGTCTGCACAAGGAAAGAGCCTGGCAGATTGGAACTTGAACGTCCTACGTCCGAAGAGGAGGAGAAGACGGATCGGAGGAGAGAGAGAGAGAGAGAGAGACGGGCAAGGAATGACAAGAGGGAGGAGGCAGAAGAGGCCAAATTTCGTCCACACTATAACATCACTATGAAGCATCATTATATGCTTCATTGAATTCTTCGCGAGAGGCGAAAGACCAGAAGAGATGCGGAGAGGCGGAGAGGAGGGGAGGAAAAGAAGGTCGAACGGAGGGGAGCCTTCTCTACGCTCCATGGCGCGGCACATCTAAACGTGTGGCACACCCCGGTGTACTCAGATACTCCAGCGGGAACACAGCGAGCAGAGCAGCACTAGTCGATGCTTACTTGATTTTTTCGGGGACTCGGGAGAAGAGAGGAGAGACTGATGTCGGAGGAGGAGCGGGAAAGGAAGGAAGGCGATTCTCAATGCAAGGACCAGCGTGCCGCCGTCAAGAAAAGCGAAGTGTGCCCGTTGGGGCTTCCGCACGTCACTGCAAATCATCCTTAACCCTCTCAACTACGCGCGCCCAGCTTCAGGATTTTACGCGAGCACTTGATCTGACAATTCCAGCCTCGAGCCGTGCGCAAAGCTTCAACGCCTCAACCTTCAAAAGGAAGCCCATGTCCAATAGTGCGCACAGGCTGGCCAGAACAACAGAGGGGGAATCTGAAGGAGCTGAACGCTGCTGAATCCACCTGGCCAGACTTGAAAGTGATGCGCCAACGATTACCAGTGTCATCGTCAGCGGAATTTCGAGGAAGGGAATGTGGAAAGGAGACGCGCGCCAAGATAACACCTCAGCGAGGCCTGCCTCGAGAACCGTGCCGCCGCGCGCGACGGCGGCGCGGACGCTGAGATGGAGGTGGAAGGAGACAGGCTGAAAGACGGAATCAAAAAGTGTCGCGCCAACAGGCGTGCGACCGCTTAGGCTGCCACCGCGCTGAGTCCGTGACAGCGGCGGTTGGGCAAAGCAAGCGAAAAGGCTGCGAATATGAGGGTGGCAGCAACGGTTGGGCAAAACCAATGGCGACCTGAACGGTCGCTGCCACCGCGCTGGTGCGACCGTTTAGGCTGCCACCGGTGGCAAAGCAGAAAAGGGACGCTTCGGTCTTCAGGGCGGCTGGACACATCCCTTTCTGCCGCCTGCTCCACTCGAGCCCTTGGCCGCGCCAGTCTCGAGGGATATTTTCTCTCGCTATCTCGTTATTATGCCCCATCATCTTCTGACATCCAGCGAGCTGCTGGCGACCCTTTATGAGTTCCTTGTACGCGAGTGGTACCTCGAATGACCAGCACGCATTCCAGAAGCGTCAACTCGAATTCTTGAGCGCGTCTGCCGCAGTGTGAGCCACTTCGCAACCATCTCGTGGCACCAACGGCGGGCTGATGAAACGTCGCTCCCCTGTGAGCAACGCGAAGTCGGACGGCCGCAGCAGGGCCGAGGCCACGGACTGCCCGATCGCTGACGCGCAGTGGGGCTCACAAAAAAGTTCAAGGGGACTTGACACCCCCTTGTGCAAGTTTGTGCGGGTGACCTTGTCCAGGCTGCCCACAGGCAGGCTTCCACGGTGGCTCCAAAGTTCGCAGGGAGGAGGAGAGTTGCTTGTTGCCGGTAGCCGACAGGCGATGGTATGATCAGGCGTCAGGCCTATGGGAAGTGCGGAGCGCTGAGGAACAACAGCGCGGCGTGCAAACGATCCCTGGCGACGCGCCCCCGCGCATGTCTCAGTGTAGGGGGCCTGTGCTGGCAAAGCGGGCTCTAGCAATCTGTGCGCAGCAGTCGCTGCCAAACCGCGAGCCCCAGAAGGAGGGGAGGACGAAGTATAGACCATAATGAAACTTACCAGCACGAGCAACGAAATATGGCTATCTACCCAAAACTTGGCACTTGCTCCTGGAGCGGGGGGAACGCAAGTACAATCCCATTCGACCTCCGACGTGGCATCGAGCCAGAGGAGAAGCGTCATAAGCATGTTTCCTTCATGAGCAGCGGCCGCTAAACAAATTCGGATCGCGGTGGTCCATGCCGCCAGCCGAGCCTGTTGGGCCCAACGCCGGCGGGAGAAACTTGGACCGAGGCGCTCTGGCCACCTTACGCGAGCACACGGAAGGCCACGTCCAGACTTGCACAATCTGGCGCTCACTTTAACACAAAATTGAAAGAGCTCCACCTTGCCAAGTCGATCGGAGAGACAGCCTCGCGACAATCGCTCCGTGGCGTGGTCCCCAGCAGCTCCATCCGTCGACCCGCGACCAGAGGGCAGGCCACGAAGAGTGCCATGTGGCATGCGGCCCAGCAGGCTGTCGGAGGGAAGTGCCGCGCTCATTCTCCACCGTAGGCCCGGCGGGCCTCGGACGAGGCCACACTCCACTGGCTGCAGCCGAGGATCGGCGCGGGGCGGGGGCATCCCTGGACTGCGCTGCCGCAGATCTGCTCGAGGCTCATGGGCTCACGAAGCGCCTCGTCGGCTGCGCAGCCGCAGCTTCCCTCGGGCGGCGCGTGCTGGAACGGCTCCACGGCGATGCGCTTCCCGGCCACCACCTGCTGGCTTCCCGCCTGCAGGATGCGCGCGACGGCGCCGGCATCCACCATCACGACGAACCCGATGCTCCCTGGCCGCACACGCGCGGCGGGCTCGCCGCTGTCGCCGCGAGACCGCTTCACCTGCGAGTGCGCGACCAGCACCCTCCTGACCTGCCCGAACGCCGAGAAGTGTGCGGTCAGCAGCGCGTCCGACGCGAAACCCAGCGTGTTGAGCCGCCGGGCGACGAACACACACTGGCTCTGCTCCCGCTGCAGCAGCTTGAGCTGGCCCCCGATCGTCAGGACCCCCCGGGGAGGCTGGCAGGTCCTGCGGCCGTGGCCGACCTCCTCGAAGGCCCCGCAGCGCCCTTCTTCCCGCTGCTTGCGGCAGGCACCGCCGGCCCCGGCGGCCTCCTGGCCAGCCCCCGCCTCCTCCGCCTCCGGTCGGGCGGCCGCTGCGGAGGCCGCGGCGCGGTCACCTGCTGCGGCGGCCACGGCGACGGCAGGGGCGGCGAGGACGCCGCCGCGCGGGGCGCCGCCTTCGCGCGCCTTGCCCGCGGGCTCCGCCAAGCTGCTGCTCCTCTGGGCCCTGGCGGGGCAGCTGCGCGCGGTCCGGCCGGGCAGGCGGTCCGGCCAGGCCTCGCCGTCGCCGCCGCCCACCTCGACGAATGTGTTCCTCACTCGCCACGGGAGCGTCATCCGCACGGGGCCCTCGGCATGGGTATGGCTTGGGTCCTGGCTCGGCATCCGTGGGGCGCTCTTCATAGTGGCCAAATCTTGATTGAGCCAGCGTGGCTGCGGAGTGCCTCGGGGGCGATTTTGGGGCGTCCTGGACGCGAGGCGGCCCAAGCATGCGATCATGGTGAAGCCATATCCGCCACCGTGCCTCTGGGCACGGAGTGGGCGTGTCCTCAGGTCCGAGAGAACACGTTTCACGGGCGCATGCCTGGGGAACATTCGGCGGCGCGTTTCGAACCGGGGGGTGGCCCCCCGCAGCTCTCGGCGCCGTCGATCAAAACCAGGGGGACCCCCCTCCCCCCGAACCCCCCCGTCTCCCGAAACCCTTCCTCCCCCCTGCCTTCCCAAGGGGGGGGGGTTCAAACTCCCCCCCCTCCCAAGGGGAGGGGCGGGTTTCAAACCCCCCTCGGCGCCGGCGCCGGCGCTGGCGGCCGCTAGCAGCGCCCACGGCGGGGACGCAGCGACGATGACCAGAGGCAGCCCGGGAGGTTTCACCCCCCCCCCCCACTCGCGCCGGCGCCGGCGCTGGCGGCAGCTAGCAGCGCTGGCGCTGGCGCCGGCGACGGCGGGGACGCAGCGACGCTTACCACAACTACCACCACCACCACACCACCACCACCACCACCGCCTTAACCCACCACGACCACCACCACCACCACCCCCACCACCACCACCACCACCACCACCACCACCACCACCAACAGCACCACACAACCACCACCACCACCACAACCACAGCCACCACCACCACCACAACCACCACCACAACTCACAATCACCACCACCACAAAAACCCACCACAACTACCACCACCACAATCTACCACACCACCACCATCGCCACAACCACCACCACCACACCAAACGTCCACAAACCACCGCCACCACCACAACCCCACCACCACCACCACCACCAGCACAAACCACCACACACCACCACCACAAACACCACAACCACCACCACCACAACTCACCATCACCACCACCACCACAAAAACCCACCACCACTACCACCACCACCACCACCACCACAATCTACCACAACAGCACCACCACCGCTACAACCCCCACCACTACCAGCAGCACAACCCACCACCACTACCACAAAACCACCACACCACCACCACCACCGCCACCACAACCACCACCACCATCAGCACCACCTCCACAAAACACCGCCGCCACCACAAACCACCACCACCATGACCACCACAAACCACCACCACACCACCACCAAACCACCACCACCACTACAACCCACCACCATCACCACCACCACCACCACACCACCACAAACCAACACCACACCACCACCAAGCCACCAATACCACCACCACCACCATCCACCGCCACAACCACCACCACCACAACAAACCACCACACCACCACCACCACAACCACCACCACCACCGCCACCACCACCACCACTAGTCACTACCAGCAGCACAACCCACCACCACCACCACCACCACCACCCCTTCAAACCACCACACCACCACCACCACCACCGGCACCACCACCACCAGCAGCACCACCTCCACAAACCACCGCCACAACCACAACCCACCACCACCACCACCACCACCACCACCGCAAACCACCACCACACCACCACCAAACCACTACCACCACCACCACTACAACCCACCACCACCACCGCCGTCATCCTCGTCGACGTTCCCCGCCACCGCCGCCCGCCGCCGCAGGCGCCGGCCCCGGCCCAGAAATGGAGCCGTCGCCAGCCGCCGCCGACGCAAGCGCCGGCCCGAGGAGAGGGGAAGCAGGGAGGGGGGGAGGGGGGGGGGTTCGAACCCCCCCCCGTCACGGGAGGGGGGTCGAACCCCCCCCCCTCGTCCATCCAGGGGGGGGGGGTCCGCTTTCAAACCGCCCCCCCCCTCCAAGCGACCACAGAACGCGCTCTTTCTCAGGTCCCTTGCCTAATCCTCTGAGCCTCAATCATCGCTCCTGAGGGGTCTTGCAAGGGCCCCGGATCCCAAATGCCGAAGTCTCCCAGGGCTTCCCGTGTGCACCCTGGGGCTCCCCGCGTGCCCCGTGGGCTCCCCCGCATCTTGCCGCGTGACGTTTTCGGCCCTGCGAGGGCCCCAAGACGGGCCAAGAGAGCCTCAGGCCCCCCAAGACGGTCCAAGAGGGCCCCGAGTCGCCGAACGATCGCTTCAAGACGCTCTTCATGGCCCCCAGACGGCCCAAGATGCCTCCAAGACGCCCCGAGAGGCCTCCAAGAGGCTTCCCAAGAGGGTCCCAAGGGGACCACATCATTGCTTTTCCAACGGTTTTTAAAGGATTGTGGTGTTCTGGCCCTTTCGGCATCCCGACGCTCCCAAACGGCCCTAGATGCCCCCAAGACCGTCCCACGACGGTCCAAGAGGCCTCCAAGAGGGCCCCCACAGCAGCCCAAGAGGTCCCCAAGACGGCTCAAGAGGCGCCCCAAACTGTCCAAGATAACCCCAAGACGGCTCCGAAAGGGGCCCAAAGAGAGGGAGCACGAACCGAAAATCCAAGCCTTCACCTCTAGAGGCCCCCAAGAGGCCCCAAGAGGCGCCCAGGAGGCCCCAAGAGCCCCCAGGAGGCCCCCACGAGGCCCCAAGAGGGCCCCAAGAGGCCCAAAAGAGGCCCCAAGATGGCCCCAAACGGCCCCCAAGAGGCGTCCGAACTGCCTCCACTCCAAGAGGCCCCCGAGAAGCCTCCCACGAGATGCCAACGAACATCCCCACAGGCGACGATGAGGAGAGCGTCAGCGACGACGACGACGGGGGCGACGAAGACGACGACAAGGACGACGAGGGCGACGACGACGACGACGAGAACCCCAATCGGCAGCTCGGACGTGCGGATCCTACTGTAGCAGGCGGGTCGGGCGGGTCGGGCGGGCGCATCGGGCGGGCCTTGCCGGACGCGTCGGGCGGGCGGGCCCTGCCAGGCGGGCGCGTCGGGCAGGTCGGGACAGAGAAGTGGTGTGAACTCCATCCCGCTGAACAACCACGAGGGCGGCGTCGACGATGGGCACGACAGCGACGCCGACGACGACGAGGACGGCGACGAGAGCGTTCTTGGCCTTTTTGGACTCACGAGGGCTGAACGTGCCCCGGAAACGGTGTGCCGTCCAGACCAATCTGCTGATCTCGGGGCAGGAACTCCGCCCGAGCTATGCGCGCGATATGTCGGATATGGGTCCCCCGCTCGGACAGGGGGGCCCTTCCGGCCTGCGACAAGTCTCGCCCATGCCCGTAGCGCCTTCACCGCCTGGCTCCTCCCTCTTGCTCCTACGTGTAGGTTTGAGTGTGCGCGCATCGTGTTTGCATCATTGGGGGATGTGTTGTTTGGGCGCATCTTGAGAGTCCTTGGGCCATTTGTGGGATGGGGTGTGTGCTTTCGCGGACCCTTTTGGGGCGAGCCTTTTGAACACATTGGGCCCCGTCTCAGGCTCCTTTTGGGCCCCTCGTGAGGCCCCGAGGGCTGTTTTGGTGCCATATGGAGGCTTTTCAGGCCCATCTGAGGCTCCACCAAAGCGGCCCGAGCCCCCAGGAAGCCAAAGTCACAACAGCAAAACCATGCAGATTTCTATCGGATCGCCTTCGGCCCATCCCGCCACCGTGCCTGGACTGTGGGTATGAAGCGTCGTCGTCGTCCCCGTCGCCGTTGACGCCCTCTTCTTCGTCGTCTTCGTCGTCCTCGTCGTAGTCGCCGCCGTCGCCGCCATCGCCGTCGTCGTCGCCGTCGTCGTCGTCGTCGTCGTCGTCGTCGTCGTCGTCACCGCCGTTTTCGTCGTCGCCGTCGTCGTCGTCGCCGTCGTCGTCGTCTTCTTCGTCGTCTCCCTCGTCGTCGTCGCCGTCGTGCTCGTTGTTTCGTCGCAGTCGTCGTCGTCGACACCGGCGAGGGCGACGGCGACGACGAGACAGACGATGGCGACAACGGCGACAACTACGGTGAGGGCATTGAATAAGGATACCTTCGATAAGGAATCCAGTGTCTGGAAGCCAGTGGCAATCCGATCGTGGACTGGCCATTCATATCACCGCCGCCCTCATCAGATTAGGAACCCTCCAGGGTCTGAAGCCTCCTGGGCACGTTCCTTAACGAACGCCCCCACCGTATGCAGACAACGACAGCAACGACAACCCTGACGGGCTGGTTGGTCGGGCGGGCGGACCTTAACGGGCAGATCGGGCGGCCGGGTCGGGGCGGGCGGCACCTAATGGGCGGGTCGGGCGTCGGGAAGGGGGGCCCTAACGGGCGGGTCGGGTCGGGTCGGGCGGGGCATTAAAGCTGCGTGCAGTCCATCCAGCCGGACATCCACGAAGGCGACAATTACGACGGACGACGATGCAAAACGTCGACGACGACAACGATGATGTCGACAACGACGACAACTGAGAGGGAGACGACTTTTTTTGATTTGCGCGCGGGTGATCGTCTGCCGAACACTCCTGCCCGCGGCGCCGAAACGACGAGCGAGGGGCCCGAAGAAGGGCCGAAAGAAGCGAGGGACGGACCAGGACCCGAACAGAGCCGAGCGAGGGACCGACCCGAGCAAACAGGGGCAACGAAAAATCGAGGGCCCGAAACAAGCGATGCTGGCAAGACTGGCGAGACAATTTGAAGCCCGCGTCCTGGCTCCTGGGCTTCCAGCCTCAACCTCTGGCCAGGCAGCAGCATTATACAACAAGACAGACGCAGCACGGCGGCGGAGAGCCCTTCCTCTCTTCGCGAGCCTGGGCTGGGGGGGGGACAAAAGGAGCACATAAAGGATGAGTGGGCGCAGGCGGTACGGGTGCCTGCTTCTCAGCGCCTCTGTACCCACTCATCCTCAGCCTAGCCTACGAACCCTGACGAACCGGCACAGGACATTTCAGAGAGCAAAGCTAGAGAGGCGTGAAAGCATGCCGCCCCCCGCAGCAGGCAGCGAAGAGAATTCTCTTTGCTTCTCTTTGCGAGCCTGGGCGGGGGGAAAGACAAAGGCAGTGCGCAAGGAGGATGAGTGGGCGCAGGCGGAACGGGCGCCTGCTTCTC